GCGTTCTTCAAACCAAAAGGCATGACTTGATAGCAGAATAGTCCCCTTGGGGTGGTGAAAGATGTTATCTCGCGGTCGGGACCATGCATGGCGATCTGGTGATAACCGCGATAGGCATGCATGCACAGCCACCAATATCCTTGCAAAATAGCTCGGTAGGCCAAAGATCTTCCTTCAATGTGACTTCCGCATATGCCCTCATGAATCTCGTATAGGAAGGCTTCCACGCTGTCTGGATGTACACACTTGAGGTATGGACCGGTGAACAACTTCTTGTATAAAGCGCTAGAAGGAGAGTGCCAAAACCGCTTTGACTTCACCCGGACTTTATGCGCTTCCTTTTTATCGGCCGGAAGGGTCTGTTCTTTCAGAAAAAGGATAATAAGGTCCATCCATGAAGGGCCAAGCTCGGTGCAAAGTACTTCTGTCTGCTCGGGTTCCTCAATACTAGGCCTTGGAAGAAACTCAATCAGGAGAGGATTGGGAGATGAACTGTCGACCATGGAAACTAGACCGGCTAACTCATCCGCACTGCCGTTTTCTTCACGACCAATTTGTTGAACCCTTATTGCCTGGAATCGCTTGATGCATTCTCTTACCAAAGCTTGGTACTTGGCCATTCTGTCATCTTTGGCTTCGTAAACTCTAGACACTTGGTTAACAACAAGTTGGGAGTCGCTGTAAACCATCAGCTCGGATGCGCGCAACTAGAGCGCGCTCTTAAGCCCGACCAGCAGCGCCTCGTACTCAGCCTCATTGTTTGACGCAGGGAATCCGAGTGTGATAGAGTGTTTGATGGTCAGGCCGTCTGGCGATGTCAAAATTATACCCAGCCCGGTGCCGTGACGATTTGAAGCTCTACCTACAAAAAGTTTCCACATTTCACCGACGAAAAGTTTCCAACAATCTGAGGGGTCTTGGGAGGCTTGAAAATTAATGGGATCACGGTCGCTCGGTTGTTCGGTTTCAGGTTCGCTGCTGTCTTTTTCGCCGCCGGACACTTCTTCTTTCCCCCTCGGTGATGCGACATCGGACCGGACAGGTTGGTCTGTTATTTCCAAGTCTGTCATCGCATTGCCGGGCTACAGTATTCCGACTGGAAGTTTTATGGACGGGCACGCAAGTTTGGCGTCGCCAACATCGCCCTGTTGTGCTATTTCCGTTGAGCCGTCATTCACCTCCTCGGCTACTGTGGTGAGATCCACCAGGCATACTTGGTGAATTCCAGGTGAGAATTCAGCAACAAAATCTGCCAATACTTGTGCCTTTATGGCCGTTAGGGGTTGAAACTTGATGTCGAATTGTCCCAATTCGGCCGCCCACTTTAGGATTCGACCGAAGAAATCGCCCGCTCGAAGAAGGCTTTGAGGGGGAATTCGGTCAACATGACGATTGTGTGAGCATGAAAGTAGTGCGCCAATTTCCTAGAGGCCATCATCAACGCCAAAGCAAGTTTTTCTAGCGGCAAATACCTCGACTCTGCCGGTAGCAAGGTTTTGCTCACGTAAAAGATAAGGAAATGCTGGATACCTTTTGACCGGACAAGGACCGCACTAACTGGATGCTGAGAAACTACCAGATAAAGGTAGAGTTGTTCGCCGGGCTTGGGTGTCACCAATAATGGGACAGAAGACAAATACGCCTTGAGCTCGGCCAAAGCCCTGTCACATTCCTCATCCCATGAAAACTTAGACTTCAATGCTCAAAAGAAAGGGCAACAGCGATCTGATGACCGGCTTATGAATCGGTTAAGCGAGGCGGCCATACTGGCCAGATGCTGCACGTCCTTTGCCGAGTTGGGCTGCTTCAATTCTTGTATGGCTTTGATTTGTATGGGGTCCGCCTCGATGCCTCGGTTTGTGACTAGGAAGCCTAGGAATTTCTCGGATCCCACACCAAAAGCACACTTTGATGTATTCAGGCGTAGCTTGTGTTGTTTAAGAATGGCGAACATCTCGGCTAGGTCGGATAAGTGGTCGGCCTGATGCCTGCTTTTGACCACCATGTCATCGATGTAAGCCTCCATCGTCCGGCCTAGCAGATAAGCGAACAATTTGGTCACCATCTTTTGGAAAGTCGCCCCGGTGTTCTTCAAACCAAAAGGCATGACTTGATAGCAGAATAGTCCCCTTGGGGTGGTGAAAGATGTTATCTCGCGGTCGGGACCATGCATGGCGATCTGGTGATAACCGCGATACGCATCCAGGAAACTGAGCCTGTTATGTCCGGCCGTAAGATCCACTAGTTAGTCTATTCTGGGCAAAGGAAAGCTGTCTTTAGGGCAAGCTCGGTTGACAGTCTTGTAATCAATGCAAGCTCGCCACTTCCCATTCTTCTTGGGCACTACGACCATGTTGGAAACCCACCGAGGGTAGTGCACTTCCTGAATGGCCTTTGCTTCTAGCAAGTTCCTCACTTCTTCCGCGACTACCTCGGCGTGATGAATGGCCGATCTCCTCGTTCTTTGAATGACAGGGCGAGTATCCAAGAAAACATTGAGTTGGTGGAAAATAAAGCTTGGATCAACGCTAGGCATGTCGTATGGCGTTCATGCAAAGACTTCAATATTCGCCATAAAGAAATCTACCATCTCGGTCCTTTCTTGGGCGGTCAGACTGGACCTTAGCAAAAAGAACTTGTTTAGACTTTTGGTGTCAATCCGCACTTCCACCAATTCTTCAATAGCCTTGTCCTCGGCCTTGGCGCCCACATCGTCAAGGACACCTTGGTCTTCCAGACCTTCAATCATTTGGACGAAGCCCTTGGCAGCTCGGCTCCCGTTCACTACCACGAAACATTGCTTCAACATGACTTGATCGCCCCAAATTTCCTCAACTTCTCCCATAGCCGAGGGGAACCTCATAACCTGGTGGTAGGTTGACGTTACTGCCTGCATGGCATGAAGCCATCCCTTACCCAAGATCAGGTTGTATGTGGACGGCACTTTCAATATCCAGAACTCCACCTGCTTGACAAAGGATCCGGCTTTGACTAGTAAGATTATCTTTCCCATAGACCACTCCGATTGTGAGTTGAAACCGACTAGTGGCAAAGTTGCTGGAGCTAAGTCTGTATCCTGGAGTTTGAGTTGCTTAAACGCGTCGTAGTACATAATCTCAACTGAGCTTCCTTGGTCAATCAAGATGCGCTTGACATCAAAGTCTCTGACGCGGAGAGTGACTACTAGGGCGTTGTTGTGTGGCGTTTGAATGCGCTCTAGGTCCCTAGTTGAGAAGCTAATCACATCTTTCTCCTCGGTCTTGCCCTTTTGATCGCGGGCTGGACTGACAAAACTTCCCTCATATGTTCTGCCTTTTTTATCATCCCTTGGAGCTCGCATACCCGCGCCAGCTCCACAATGCCGTGAATCACATTGACCACTCCTTGAGGGGGCGCCTCTAGGTCATCCGAACCACTCGGATCAGCCGGGGTGCTGTGTGCGGCTCTAACGCCCCCATCGATGTAAAGGTCTAAGTGACCAACTTCGACTAGCTCCTCCAAGTGTTGCTTTAAGGGCAAGCAGTCTTCCGTCCGGTGCCCTCGCTCCCCATGAAATGTGCAACGGTACCGCGGATTGAAGCCCTTTTGCGCATCACCTAACCTAGCGAAAAATCGAACATAATCCTCATCGCGGATTTCACTAAGTATGCGATAGATTGGAATCTTAAATACCGTGGTGATGCCCATCCGAGCGTTCAACTTTCTGTTTGCATCAGCTGCATCATCGCGGGGATGTTCTGCCCTGTCATTGCGGCGACCTTTACCCCGGTTTCTACGATTTGGACCACGGTTGGATTCCCCCACGCGATCATTTGGATGGTTTGTCTCCTGTGCGACCTCGTGTATCTTGCCAGCCACCCTTTTGTCCGTTGCCACCGGATTTGTCTTCGCGGTGGATGCCGCCGCATCATCCTCTACTCGGATGTGCTTATTGATGCGTTGCATTAGTTGCCCCATAGAAGTCGGCTGGTTCATTGTAAGCAAGTCCCGCAGCCTATGTCCGACCGGGAGACCGCGCTTATAGTGGGTGATTGCCAGGTTAGTTAGGCAATCTAGGATCTCGTTGAAGGTTTCCCAGTACCTGGAGTTGTGTATGCCTTGAGGGTGTCACTTCACTCCATCTTGACGCTCAAAAGGTGGTCTACTTCCTTTGGTGTTTTGGTGTTGGTTTTGAAACGAGTCACGAATGCTTCCGCCAACTGCTGCCACCCTTCGATGCTTTCTTCTGGAAGTCTCTCAAACCATTTCAAGCCCAGCTCGCCCAAACTTGATGGGAAATAAGGCACATGAGAGCATCATTACGCCTGTGTCTAGCCATGACCTGCCGGAAGTGGCTTACATGCATGTACGGATCGCTTTTCCCGTCACAAAGCGTAAACTTGAGCTGGTGAAAGCCCGCTGGGAGCGGCGTGGTCTCTATCTCATGGGAGAAGGGGATGGCACTTAGCCTCGCCAAATCTCTGTCCAAAGGGACAGGCATGGCTGAACGAGGTGGCGGCATCATAACCTCTTCGCTGGTGTGACCTCCATAGGATAACCGTTGGAGCGTCGGTACCCTTTGAATCTCCCATCGGCGAGCTCGCTCCTTTAAGACATCCCTCAAGTCCTCTGAATGAATGGAGTAGGAATATCTCAACGTCGTCGACGGATGTGAGAGGTAGTAGGCACTATCTTCCGCGCTAGACTTCTCTGCCGGCGTGTCTGAGTCTCCAACCCTATAATTTCTGGTGATAGAAAGGGAGGGTGTGGGCTGCTGGCTCTAGCTGCCTGAGCGACGAGGTTGGGTGCGCTCACTGTGGTCTCCTACTCCAGCAGCACCCTTCCCCTTGACCTGTCGTTTGAGAGCTTCCATCTCAGCCGCCATTCTCTGGATAACGGCATCTTGGTCCATCAACTTGTGCTCCAGGCGTCGAATGTGCGACTCTCTTCGCCACTGGTGTCCGTTTGGGCTCTGCGAGTGACCGAAGCTTCTGGCGCACTTATCACGTGCATCTCTTGGAAGACTTCTTGGGGAAGTCTCCAGGTCCGTCATATTCGGAATGGTGAGAAGTCCGTCTCTCCGTCAGACTGACTCTGGGGTGACATCGTCGATGGCAAACAGTGGCACTTCGTCATTGTTCACCATGAAGGGTGATCCAATGAGCTTGGAAGGCAAGGTTGTGTTTGCTCAAGGCTTTCCCACAGACGGCGCCAATTGTACGGGGAGGAAATATCCGTTGCTCTCCGCACTCCTTGCGTCCAAGCTCCGTTTCTATTCGATTGATCTGCAAACACAACGGCGGTGAGCTACCCAGCGGTGTGTTGCCGGAAAACCCCTCTGACGGTCAAGTTAGCACACTCAGAAAGAGAGAGAGAGAGAGAGAGAGAGAGAGAGAGAGAGAAAGAGAGGAGAGCTCTATGAATGTTAAGTTTCTCTCACCAATTGATGTTCCATCCCTAGCGTGGGGGGTGTAGTCATGCTTATATACTTTCTGCGTTTACCTTTGCATCCATTCGCCTATTGACATGTAGAGCTACTCTTCTATCACGCTCTCCTATCTGTCAGCGCAAATTCAGCCAAACACCACTTAATTAAACCGCCAAACAGCATTGGCGGGAACGAGCAGCCAGCGGCATTATCTCAGCCTTCTACGACCGTGCTACCTAACGAGTCCAACAAAGTCCCTCGTCGAGCTTCATCACAACCGAGCTCAATAGCATTTCGGTATGACCGCGCTCCAGCCAAGCTAGGTCAGTCCGCGGAAGACCTTTCTCGTCAAGCTAAATATGCGAACAGTAAAGCCCGGGCTGACAGAAAACCATCTCAGCTGAATGGGCCCTGGACTTCAACCGAGCAAACCAACCCAGGATCAGCCCAGGTTAGCTCAGCCCAAACACGTTCGGACCTCCTTCTGCCCGGCCTCTTCCACAGTTGCAGGTCTAATTAGGAATCCCCCTCTCAATATATATATATATATATATATTAAAATCTATCTTTTAAATATATGAGTAGAGACAGATTTTAGGATTGATAAATATATTTTGGGATAGCAATTCTACATTGAATATATGATAAATAAAAGACTACAATGTATATATATATATATATGAGTAGAGACATATTATGTTTGTGTTTTTGTTTTTGTGTGTTTTGTTTGTTAAGCGATTAATGAAATTTAATGAAATTGCTTGTTAATCGGTTAATGAAATTTGTGTGTAATTTTTTAAATAGAATCTTTTTGTTTTCTTTTTTATTTTCTCTTCAAATCATCCCATCCAAACAGGCAGGCAACTGTTTAAATTTTTTCCCCCTTTCATTGGAATATGTTGCTCTTTTAAATTTTTAACTAAATGCACTTTTAGTCATAAATTTTGATTCCTGAAATTATTCACTATCAATAGAATTTCTAGTTTGGGATTTGTTATCACCAGTGATTTGGAAATATTTAAGAATTCTTTCTTTGGTTCTGGTGTTGTGTGCTAATCTGCTAATGTATGCTCTGGTCTCATCACTGCTGATGTTTGATTGGTTGTTGCTCAGTCTGTGGTGCTGCACTGTATAATGTTAATGTATGATGCTGCTGTTGGAGTCTTGGTGTCTTTGTTGTTCTGTCTCTTTGCCTTGTGGGTGTCATGGTCTAATCAGTTTTGCACTGGTCTGATTGATTTGGCTCAGGTCTGGTGGCATGTAACAGATGCCTGGTTAGGTGTAGAGGGTCACTAGTCTTTGACTCTACTTGTCCATTTGAGCTTTTTAATGGATCATCAGTATATGCTCAGGTGTTGTGCTTGGTCTCACCAATTAGGTTTCTGTTTTTGAATGGTTGGTTGTTGGTTTGTTTGATGTTTGTTGTCTGGCTTGATGCTGCTGTTGTTTTGTGGTTAATGAATGTGTCTAGGGGTTGCTAATAGATTTGCTGTAAGGTCTGATTCTGTATGGGCTGTTGTCTAATGTTTTGAATATATATTACTTTCACAATTTTGAATTTCTAATAAATAAATAAAATTAAAAATTTAACCATTGAATCAGATTTTATGATTAATAAGATGGTGATAACATAGTTTCTTCTTCCTTTTTCATTTATGTATAAAAAAAATGAAGACAGGACATGAGTATCCTTATATGTTATTTGACATTCATTTCATGCCCACTCTCCATTAATTTCATGTATAGTGCGATTTTAATTTAAACTTTGATTTACAATTCAAATGTTATAGGTTATTGGCTAATGTAAAGAGATAAAAAAGCTGCAATCATTCGTTGGGGGCAATTACTACATCAAGTAAGCTTTGACTATATTTTAGGGCATTTTTAATTTATTTAGAGAATTTTGGCACTTTTTTTTTTATTAAATTTGTGGCTGTTAGAAGCTTCACATTTTTTACCTAATGTTTTGAGCATCATGATATGACAAACACTTAGATGACTCAAGGAACTATTTGACATGTAAACAAAATAAGACCAAATGCGATGATTAGGGATGGCTGCTGTGTTTGGTTTCAAAATGTCAATTTCATGTCTAACTCAACAAAGAAATACGTCAAATAGCTAAAATAGATGAATATGCTTTTCCAAGAATAACTAAACTAATATGTAACAATTTTAAGACCACAATTTATATAGCAATTGTAATCTATATATCAATTTCATCACTTACTATATGATTTTTTTTTCACCCTTAACTCTAAATTGCATATTTTACTTGAATAGTAATTCTTGTTTATCACTTACTATTGTGATGTATCATTTGGTCATGAAAGGGATGTGGAACCATAATCTTGTGGGTCACCAAAAGATATGGAAGCATAATCTTGTAAATTCTCTAATTCAAAGGAATTTCACATAACCATGGCGTTGTAGGTGACCAAATATGGACAAGAGTTGGATGTTACTTAAGAATAGGATGAGTTCCCAGTATCGAGATAGGGTGAAGGCTTTTGTTCAATTGGCAATGATGAATTAAGGCTAAATTATATGATTCGTTGCCCTTGTATGGATTGTTTGAATTGTGAACGACATACTAGTAAAATTGTGGAGCATCATTTAGTTGTGAAAGGGATGTCCCCTTCTTATAAGACTTAGGTGCATCACGGGAAATATGTTCCCATGAATCAATCTCATGCATTGACTGATGACAACCACAATGACTTTGGAAGTGTTGGGGATAGAATGAAAGTAGAGACAGGCAAAGATCAAGATGAAATCCTAAATTTGTTAGAAGATGTTTACATGGGGACTACCATAAATGATGATGAAAATGAAGAGGATGAGGAGGATGATGACAATGACAATGACAATGACGATGATGTGGCTAACAATATCGAAAAAGAGGGCGTGCCCAACTTTAACAAATTGTTGAATGATGCTCAAAGAGAGTTGAAACCTGGGTGTCGTAAGTTTTCTCTTTTATCATTTGTTGTTAAAATGCTTCATGTGAAGGTGTTGAACAAGTGGAGCAATAAGTCTTTCAACATGTTGTTGGGGATATTAAAGGACCTTCTATCGGTAAGTGATCAAGTGATTCCATGGACCCTTTATGAAGCCAAAAAATTCTTACGTGACTTAGGCTTAGGATATGTGTCGATTCATGCATGCAAGTATGATTGTGCACTTTTCTAGAAAGAGAATGCAAATTTAGAGAATTGTCCGATTTGTCAAGAGTCTAGATACAAGTTGAATGATGGAAAAGGTAAAAAAATTCCTCACAACCCAAGTCTTAAGGGCAGTCAAAAATGGGGTGTCTACAAGAAGCAACCACACATTGAATAAACAAGTGGTCCATTAACTCTGCATCCACACAATGCAAACAACACCAATTAACCAGGATATGCCCCCACTTGATAAGATTATCAGTAGTAAGAATATGACCGAGCATCACCGTCCACACAAAGAAAGCAACCTTAGAAGGCACACCCACCACCCAAACAAACCTCCAAGGAAACAGCGCACCATCATTATGCACTAGCGCACCATAAAACAACGACACTGAAAAAAT